TTTTAAAATAATAAAAAACAACTGTATAAAAAAAAAACTCGTAATAAATTTTTACCTTTATTTTATTCTTGAAACCTCCAGGAACAGTTGTAAGAAGAAACAGTTTGAGATTGGCTGTCAGCCTCCGGCTATAGGATGCGAATTGCGACTCTATTTTATATTTAATTAATTAATTAATCCGTTTAGTAATCACGTGCTGCCCTGTGCCCCGCCTGACTTTTATAGATTAACTTAATTAGGCGTGTCACAAACGGCTAAATTCTTTTAATTTATTATGATAATTATTCAAACCCACGGGTACAAGTTTCAATCATTCTCCACAATTTAGATCTATAAATTTGGCCTTATTTTAAATTGTTTTCGATATAATTTTGATTATTAAGTCTTTATATTATTATTTTAACCAATAAAAGTTATTTTTGCATCATTTAGTTTGAATGAAAAAGTATATGTTTGTCTGTGGTTAAAATCGGCTACGGTCTTGTAAGTTTTATGGGTTTTATTTTATTTTTGAATTTTAATGCATTTAAAAAATGAACCTTTTCGTATTTTATTCGATTTGAAACAAGATAATGGTAGGATTATGAGGATTTTTTTTATTGTAGAAAAAATGGAAGAAAAATAGTTAGAGGCTTAGAGCCGAAAGTGAGATAGTACAATTGGGAAAAAAAAATTATCTTAGCATTTAGGAAAATAAATTATTATGCAAAAAAATATGAACAATAAAACAATCATAAGACAAAGGTAAAACGATGATGCAACGGAGAGGTGATGACGAAAATAAGGACATAATAAAACAATATCGAAGACAAAATTGATACACATTTTGCTATGCTACTTTATCAAATATTATTAACGAATTTTTCCCTCCACCCACCTTTAGATACATCAAATTCATATCATGTCCTACCTTGAATGGAACGAAACATCCTTATTTGAAATGGGGTCGAGGAAAAATGAGAGGGAAAATTTTTACTTCAATATTTTTCAAATGACTGAAAAAAATTCTACCTAAATTATTTTAATTGCTATTATGGATATTTATTAAACTAGTATTAAATAAAACAAAATGTAAGGAATCTTGAACTGATCGAGATTCTCCCACACTAACTCCAAATTTTTTGAACAAAAAATAAAATATTTAAAATATTATTTATGTCTCTATATTTTTTTAATTTTGGTTCATTTTGATTCTATTAAAATAAATAAAATTAAAAGTCGACAAAATTAAAATAATATTTAAATTAAAAAATAAAAAATTTCAACCAGGGGAAGAAAAGATTGCAACCTCATTTTTATCCCGTTGGATTGCCATTTTTTAGCCACCTCCTCTATTAATTGTGGGCACCCAAAACTAAAACTTCCTTCCCCACCTTATCTCCAACTCCCATGCTTAGCGTTACGCATTTGTCGCTTTCACCTTTTCTTTCGTTTTTCGTTTTTCTTTATTTTTATTTTTATTTTTATTCATACCAATCTATATAATTTTATTACCCGTACATATGCTAATCTAAACCTATCTTAAATAGACAAGACATTTATCTATTAATATATATATATATATATATATATAAACGTATAAACATATTTATTACAATTTCTAAAGTTGATGATTTAACTTCGGTGTGAATGTCAATTCAATTTACATTGTTGATCTTTAACTTTGATTTGAATCACCTAATATTTAACTAGGTAAGTAATATTTTTGTTGGCACAAAATTATTATTAAATTAGGAATAAAACATATTAAAACTTTATTTTTGTTGACAAAAAATTATATTAAAGTAGGAATAAAAAAGATTAAACTTCTTTACTTAATAAGTTAAAATTTCAAACTCTAATGATTACTTTGAATTTAGTGATAGTTGCTAATTTTTTTTTCAATTTACAGTTAATTTAACCTGATGTGATAATGCCTCATGTATATATATTTTTTGTTTAAGTAAAAACTCGACAATAATAAAGAGATAAATTTTGTTTAAAATTGCACCTAAATAGGAGAAAGCTCATTTGATGACTAGCAATATTGTTGCCGATCTTATATATGTTTAAAAAATACGTTTATGTAAATTAATTATACCCTTATTTCTTAAAATTGTAATTTTATAAATTATAAAACTAGGTCAAGATTTTTAAAATAGTATGGAATATCACAAAATAATTTTAAAATAAGAAATAAAAATATAAATATTAGGACATAGTTCACTCGTTTAATATATCTATTAATATAAATATTCATTATTCAACTAGCTCGAGTGAAATAGCTTATTTCAAATAAATAAATAAAATTTCTGTTGGGGGGAAGAGAATCACCTCTTAGGGAAAATCAAAGGACAAATTGGCAATTTTTTTCCCAATCTCCCTTCAAGAATAAAATAAAAATGAGTCAAATATTTATTTATTTAGGTAGTTTCTGAACGAATAATACGTGTAAGTTGTATAAAAGCCATAAACCTACCAACTTTGGAATAAAAAAAAATGAATAAACCTACCAACTATAATAACTATAATGGTTGGTCCAATAAGAGTGGCACTGTCACAGGGCAATTATAGGCAACTAGGCATGGCATGGGGAGCACTATCATTCAGCAAATGGGATTTTAAAATAAAGTCTTTACCATATTTTCATGCATTTTCCCATTCATATTCTTCTCTCCATTTTTTTTTCTTTATTATTATTACTGTTGTCATTATTATTCTTGTTTGTAAATTTTGTATTCCACTTTGTAAAATAATCTTACAAATATTTAATTTAGATTCACATCTGGTCTCACGTTATGCTTCGTTTGCTAGCATATATAAGCTTTCACATTTATTTTGTTATGATACATGAAATTTTAAATATTTTATGTTATTTTATCAACCTTTAGAATATTTGACGGGCCATATACTGATACAAGGTAGACGTCTCACTAGTCAAATTAATAACTTGCCAAATAGCACGATGGGTTACTCAACTACATGCACTCCAAAGTTTAAGTTAGTAGTACACGTAAAAGAGTATCAGATGTTGTTGAGATTCTCAATATTAAAAAAAAATGTTTTGGTTTCATGCTCAACCTCTTATTCATTTTTATGATAAAGAAATATCTCTCTCCCTTTTTATAATTTTAGCTTTTCGCATTATCTTTAAATTCAAAGGACTTGATTTTGATTATTGGGATGAGTGGATGGACGGTGAGCATCTTCCCTGACTTAACCAAGGTCAAAATGATTCGGGGTTCAAACGCATTGAGCTCAAACTCTTTCCCTTAGTGGGACATTAATTTCGATCGATCTCCAAGGAAACTTGAGTTCGTATCAAGCCGATCTTAGTTAGGTTGCTTATAAATTGCATAGCTTCAAGAGGAATGATCCAACATTTCACAGGGGAGGTTTGGAAAATGTTGTCATGCCATTTGACGCTCTGTATCTGGTGTTCAACGAATTTTATGTCAATGGCATCGGTGTTTTTAAGTTGATGTGAGTTGAACTTAACGGAGAGGTAACTTTGTCTGACCTGTCTAGTGTCCTTGATTTGCTCGAATGCGTGTTTGTTGGCGAGTGAGCTACATGGCAAGTTAAGATTCTACCTCTCCCAAATTACATGGTCAGTTAAAAGCTATTAAATATTTTAAAATAAAATTAATAAATAATTTTTTATAATTTATTTTCTCTAAATTTAAATTACAAATGGTATTTTTTTAAACTATATTTATTATTATTTAACTATAAACACAACTAAAGTAAAAAACGGGATGAAGTGGGAGTAAATGGAGTTCAAATTCCCGGGAAGATGAGGAATTGGTTCCAAATCTTTCCGTGCTTGATGTCATCCTTATTCTATCATTTAAATTTTCTATGTGAACACTATTGTGTTGGATTTACAATGTTAAATGTTAATAATTGATTTATATAGCTTCTTTCATTTTCTTGTTTTATTTGTCATTTTTAGACAATTATTTGAGAGATAAAAAGAAGGAAGTGGGCCCATTGCCAATATATATATATATATACACTACATGTCTTTTTATGTACAAATATGGTACACTCCACATTTGTCGTGTTAAAAAAATATATACCTAAACCACACAAGTTGAAATAAAATAAATATTAGTCAAGATAGATATGAGGAGAAATAGAATAATAATATGGAACAAAATTGTTGTTTAAATCTAAAAGATTGAATTATTCAATCAGAAATTCAAAAATTAAAATAGAACTTTGAAAGTTTGTGAAACTTATTTTCTAAATTCAGAGATTAAAATAAAATTAAAAAACTTCTATTTTTTAGTACACAAATTTGATAGGGAGATTTGAATCTCCCACAAAGATGAGTACGTGCCAATTACCGTTATACAGCCCTCACAAATAAAATTCAAAACTAACAATTAATGACACTATTTATTGTAATAAATGTGAATGTTTATATATGTTATCTTCCAAATAAGTTAGGTTATTTGATTGTTATTTTTATAAGTTGAACTTAAAAAAAAAAAAAATGAATCAATGCCATTTACCATATATATATATATATATATATATACACTTGTGTCAATAGGTTAACACACATAAAAATTTACAAACAATGGACGATAGCAATAACAGATAATAATTGTAAATCAAAATATAATTATTAATAGAAAAAATACGAGTTTAAAATCAATCATTCTCCTGCATTTTTGGAAAGTTAATTTAAGGTTAAAAAATATTTGTAGTCCTAATCATTTAAGGTTTATAACAATAACAATTTAGTCCTTATCCTAAATTTTTTTTTGACAAGCTTCCTATCGATAAATCAATGAAAAATTAAATATATTTATAAATTACAAAGACTAAATCGTTTTTGGATAAAAATCGAAGTTGACTTTTCATGAGATTTTTTTCACGATAGAGTAAGTGTGTTTTTTAATCTTAATTTAAATATTTTCATGCGTTGAGCTAAGGTGTATGTGAGGAAGAATATTTAAAGTTGAATTATAAAAAAAAAAGAAAACAAAAAATTTCTGAAAAGAAAAAGGGAAAGAAAAGAGAGAGAGAAAGGAGAAATCATGCAGCAGCCGCCGCATTGGTAATGGTTTTCAGAAAAGAGCCGCTATACTATTCTTCAATCTTCAATCTTCAATCTTCAATATTGATATTGATTTGATTTGATGGAATCATATCATAGTTTCATCCTCTCCCTCTTCCCTCAACGCAAACCAAAGGACAGGACAGGTGGGTGATACTCATAACTCATAACTCTCTCTATTTTCCCTTCTCTCTCTCTCAACTCTCATCCGAGAAAAAAAAAAAACTCCCCCAAAACGCGACTCTCTCTCCATCTCCATCTCCCAAAGCTCAATCCATGGATTCCATCATTCCCGCTCAATTTCCCGCTCTTTATCGGTACGCCTTTCTCCTCTTTTCATTTCTTCAGATTTTTATCTTTTTTCTCTCCGTTCATCCTTCCAGATTTCTTGCTTGCAGGTCCCTATATGCTCGGTTTTCGCGGTAATGTGGTGGAATCACTGCCTGCTTGTTATTCCATATGGCTTCCGATTCTTCGTCTGAAGGTAATCCTCTTAATCCTTTTCGTTTTTTACTGCTTTCTTTCCTCCTCCCTTTCACCATCGATTTTTGTTATTTCGTTTTACTAGTTCCGAACAAATTCTCGTAGTCGGAATTATTTTTACTTCTGTTGGAACAAAATTTTCTTGTTCCTCATCTTGATGGACTTCCATGGCCGGCCTGAAAATCGTGGTAGTCAGGTCTTCGTGGTTTTGGTTAAATTGGCTCCGTCTGTTGGTTTTACAGGCATTGATGTGGAAGTTCCGCGACTGTATTTAATAACGACGTTGTATTCAGAAATTTGTGCCGACTAATTATTCGACTACGTTGCGTAGACATAGACTTCTTGAACTTGTTAGCTACGCTAGATGCTTAGCTTTTTCAATGTGCTTAAATTTTTAGCTTCTTGAATTTATGGATTATAATTGTGTCAATTTCTGATGGGCGTAGTGTCCGAGTTCTCCAGTTCTACTTATCCTTTCCTTCCTCCTGTCGTTAGTTTGCCATGTCTAGTTATCAGAGTATTTTACGCTTCTTGCAAGATTAATTTGGTGAACAGTCAGTAATTGCATGAGAACTGTTCATTATGTTTAAAATTCATCGTTGACTTTCAACCATTAGGAGGTTTAAGAAATTATCCAAAGTCAAAGGCCCAGGGTATTTATATGAGTTGAAATGGATCGTGTTTTGCCCAATTCCACCATGTAGTACTTAGGTTGAGTTAAATTCGTGTTGTTCGAGTCATTTGGTTAAAGTTTTGTACAAAATAGTGTAAATTATAGTATTTTAAGGATCTATGTATATATTTTCTCACAATTACAACTTGATATCTTAATTTCTGGTAGATAATAATAAAAGGATTTGAAGCAATTATCCTCTAAAATATGTTAAAGAGTAGAAAATTCTATAGTAGTTATTGAGTGGAAACTAAAAGAGTGTATATATATATTGTAGTTTTATCACAAGTGCATGGATTGTTTTTAATTAATAGATTTGAACTGGTATGAAACAAACACTCCAAATTAGTTTCACGAATCCATGCATGTTAAACTTATTTGAAGTCAAACCCAATGTAATTAACTCAAACTGGACGGCACCTACCATTTGGACATTTGATTTATGTTTTGTTTCTTAACGCTGATGTACATCCTCGTCTATGTTGGTACTAGGAGCTGCTCTTGATCCATCAAAATGCAGTAAGATGAGTATGGAGGAGAAAAGAAATTTGGTCTATGAAATATCAGATCAGCCACAAGCTTCTGAACTGCTACAATCATGGAGTCGTCATGAGATTTTAGAGATTCTATGTGCAGAGATGGGAAAAGAGCGGAAATATACTGGATTAACGAAACTGAAAATAGTAGAGAACCTCCTGAAAATTGTCAGTGAAAAGAAATCAGAGTTAACTGAGGTTGTGACAGATCACCTTGACAGTCAGTCTTCTCCCTGTCTTTCTCCAAAGATTACTAAAAGGCAAAGAAAAATTGATCAGCCATCACGACTACCTGTTTGTGCAAGCAATATTCCAATCAGTAACACTAGGAGTGACTCAAATATTGCAGTGTACTGCAGAAATTCGGCTTGCAAAGCTACCCTAAATCAAAATGATAAATTTTGCAAGAGGTGTTCATGCTGCATCTGTCATCAGTATGATGATAATAAGGATCCTAGTCTATGGTTAAGTTGCAGCTCTGATCCACCATTTCAAGGCACTTCATGTGGTATGTCATGCCACCTTGAATGTGCATTGAAGCATGCAAAATCTGGAATTTCTAAAGGACAGCGGGCTGGCATTGAAGGGACTTTTTATTGTGTCTCTTGTGGAAAAGTCAATGACTTGCTCGGGTAATCACTCTGACTTTTATCTCTGTTCTTTCTTTTCTTCTTCTTCTTCTTACATATATATATGTTCTTTGAATTTGAAAGGATTACAAAAAGTTTGCCTCTTATTATACAATGTGGATTGATCTTTATTGACGTGAATCTAGTGATATAATTTACATATTCACTGGCTTAGTTATTGATTGAAGGCCCAAAGCTATTTATTCTTCCCAAGTTAAAACTGAATCTGTCTTCACATGGTGAAGCTGTTGAAATATCCATGCTGCTGTAATGATCAATCTAGCATATAATATTTTTTCCTTATTAAATAGTAAACTTAAAAAAAAAAATTTATAAAAGATTAGACTTTTCATTGTATAGGAAAACTACTGGGAAAAGAGCTGTTTTTATTTTAATTATTTCTATAGCTTATCGAATTAAATATTTGACGCTCAAGGACTAGGTCGTTCATGGATTGAATCATAAGGACAGCAAACCTTCTGGGGTCATAAAGTTTGTTTGTTTGTCTTTTTCCTTGTTTTTTTTTTCTTTTCATTTGGACATGAGTTACGTGCTTCTCTTTATCTTGAAGAACTGAAGGTGCTGCTGATTGTTGCTTCAGTTTCCTTCCTGGCTGTAGAAATTCAGATTAAGAATTCAATTTTGTTTTGTTCATATTATAACAGAATTTAGCTTTGTTTAGGCCATGTTTGTAATGGAGTTTCACGTTACCAGGATGATATCTAATGTCAAACATAGTAGTTTTGAACCAAAACCATTTAGAGTCTGATGGTCATTGTAGACAATTGGGAATCTGATCGCACGCTAATTTGGAGATATGGTTGCAGTCAAGAGATAAATGTGATTACTAATTAATGCCTTTACACTCAAAATTAGTTGGTGGACTAATCAGTGTTGGTAAAAGAGGATAAAAAGGAGAGAATTGGTTTTTCCTGAGCTTTAGTGGGGAAATTGCAGCATACTGTTTATGGAACTTAATACAAATGTTTTCCCCTTATCATCCCATGGGTACGACTCAAAGATAGACCTGTCTACCTCTTTTTGGGCCTTGGCGTCATTTTGACCATTAACTTATCTGTGGTTGAAGCCATAGGATAGTGTGATGCTGGTCTTCAAGATTTTTGCGGGTTTCTTATTGTCATTTACTTGTCTGTCGTAGATTTCTTTTTGTTACTTGTTGTTTTGTCTTCTTTCTAGATTTTTCCCCCTTCTTGATGAGAACCAATCTTATTAAGTATAAGAATGCAAAAGATGGAAAGGATGAGTAATTCTCTCCTCAAAGACCAACCCAAATGGAGATTACTGAAAGAGTTCTCTAATTGGACTGAATTGGAAAAAGAAGAAAAAAAGGGAAGAAAATTAGAGAAACCTTTATAAAGGATACATCATTTAGAAGTTAGAAAAAAGCTAAGATGTATATCTTGGATCCGTGTAGATAGCCTTTCATCCGTCCTTTTGTTTCTAGATGTTGCACTATTGCTGACCCATAGAGTCTTATCATGCTACCCAAATCAGAAACGGTCAAATTGCTACTCATATGTTCTAGATGCACAGTGAACGAAGATGCAATGCTCGTCTTCTGTGTCCCAATTGCAAAGAAGACACCACTTTGGGGAGAGGGAGAAAGTAGCACATGTTAACATATTTCATTTCTGTCAAAATGTGAACATCGTTGCAAAGGCAAGGACTGGACGTCCAACCCTTCTCAAAAGTTAATTGGAATTATGTTAACCTGTCTAATTTTCGAGGATAAGAAATCATGGAAACTATATAATAGCTGCCTGAGATTGTGGACCACAAAAAGGACTCAGATTGAACCATATAACAGTCCAGCCACCTTGTAAATACCTTTTTTTTTATGTTCAAGCACTATTTCATTTTTCTCCTTCCAGATTTCCCAAGACTGGCCCTGAAAGTTCTTGAAAATGCCGTTAGATGTTGTAGTTCATGAACTCCGTTCACACTCTTGCGACATCCCCCGACATATCAATGCTCTTCATTGCTGTACTGTGTTAGATTCCCTTAAATATTTAGTATTACTGTATCATGAATGGAACGAAACTAATACCCAGTTTAATTTCTTTAGGTGCTGGAAAAAACAATTGACGAAAGCCAAGGATACCAGAAGGGTGGATATACTATGTTACCGCATCTCTTTAAGCAAAAAGGTTTTGAGTGACAGTGAAAAGTATCGAGATGTGTATCAGATTGTGGACGAGGCTGTGAAGAAACTTGAAGCTGAAGTGGGTCCTTTAACTGGTGTCCCGGTTGGGATGGGCAGGGGCATAGTGAACAGGCTTTCTTCAGGACCGGAGGTTCAGAAACTTTGCTCTTTAGCCATCGATACACTGGACTCGTTGCTCTCCAAGAAGATCTTGCACCAATTGCACAATTCCATGACACAAGGTAAGTTATTTTATGTAAGGCTCCTAACTTTTTTACTCATCTCAATTTATTTTTACTACAATTCTGGAAATAGCGTTTATATCTTGGTGTACTTGCACAGTTGCACTAGAATTTATTTTGCATGTTATATAAATTTTTGAATTGATTGCTGATAGATTTTACTATCTTCCCTGTACAATGGATCTACAAAAGATATTAGAAATGATATTTGTGTTCTATTTTGCATAGTGTTTCATTAAGGAGAAAAAAACATAAATCAGTGACCAGTTTCTTGTCAACATTGCAGATACAGATTTGGCAGCTACAAACTTCGTAAGGTTCGAAGATATTGATGCAACATATCTTACAGTGGTTTTGGGTACTGAAGATGTTTCTTCTGGAAAAACTGTTGGTTACAGGTTATGGCATCGAAAGACATGCGATACAGATTACCCCATAGAGCCAACTTGCATCTTGTCTCGACCCAATTTAACGTTTGTCGTCCATGGACTAACCCCATCTTCAGAATATTATTTCAAAGCCATTTCCTTTGATGAGACAGGAGATTTGGGGATGTGTGAAGTTCAGGTCTCAACTGCTAGTGCCCGGGCGGATGACCCAGGCTGCTTGGTGATTGAAAGAAGTCAGAGTCCGGTGACCAACTTTAGTGAACTCTCTAATCCTTCCTCAGTAGAAGATGAAACTAACAATGTCATGCCTTATAGCGATCAGACCGATAGTCGAACAGAGAACTATCTTTCTTATTGCAAGGATTCTAACAAGATCATTGCTGCTAACCTGTCTAAGGATGCAATAAACTGCACAAACACGGGTGGAAGGGGACCAGCAACAGATTCCGTTTCTTTGTTGGACGAGGAACACATTACAAAGAAAAGTGGGATGCTGTCTGATGCCATCGTTACAAAACTTGAAGACAAGCATTCCTCTGAGGTCCATATTATTGAAGATAGAAGCATGAATAACGGGTCAAATTCTACCGTTCAAGACGGCTCTAAAAGCACGCCGTTTCCTGGTAGCTCTGAGGCTGGATTGCCAGTTACTCCTTGCAAGATGGAAATAATCAAGGATGTTCTTGGAAGGAGTGGGCGATCCAAGTGTAGCGCCAAGGATCGAGAAAATGGGTCCGGAGGAGAGGATCCTCGACATGGCAGCACATCTAAGAAGAGAAGTACAGAAAGGCAAGACGTCGATTGTACGACAAACGGAATCTCAGATAAGGATTTTGAGTATTATGTAAAATTGATTAGATGGCTAGAATGTGAGGGACACATAGAGAAGAACTTCAGGCAAAAATTCTTAACCTGGTACAGCTTGAGAGCCACAGCACAGGAAGTTAGGATTGTGAAGGCCTTTGTCGATAACTTCATTGAAGACCCATCAGCTCTTGCAGAGCAACTTGTTGATACCTTTTCAGAATGCATTTCAAGCAAGAAAATATGTGCTGTGCCTACTGGATTCTGCATGAAGCTTTGGCACTGATCACCTCAAAAAGCAACAAATTTAACAAGTTATAAATTGGAATTTTATCGGTCGTAGGCATTCTTTAGATACCTTCTCTTTATTCCTCCATTTAAACTGTCATCAATTGAGTCGGGCGTCATCTGAGCTGTATCTAGCATTCTTATGATGATAACATGTCATCCACATTCGCCATTTTTAACATTTCAAACACATATGTAGACGAGTACGATTTAACATTCTTACTCACTCATTTATCCCATTTAGCAATCAATTTATGAAACTTGTTTCTGTGGTTTTGAGTGCCTTCTCGACATGAATATGATCTATGTACATCGTTAACCGTTAAAAGTGTGAAATTGACAGGCAAGCAAGAAGATTCAAGTTGGAATCTGAGTTCTTGTCACTGCTTGAATGGAGATTGATCGTCATTTTAAGGACGATCAAAGAATCGTTTACCTTTTCTTTTGAATCAATTTCATACAATCGCATGCCAAATTTGTCTTCTGTGATAGTTTGGCTCTGAAACACATTCATGAACTAAAATTATTAACTTTTTAAATAAAGGGCTCACAGTCACCCCTTCGTCTTCTCCAAACTTTAGTGATGGTTTCGTCTGATCCTCGTCTTTCCACCCTTATTTTTGCCTTTTTCCCCCCTCTTTAATTGAGGCCCCTCCATCTCTCCATCTCCAATGCAAGAAAAAGGCATCATTATTGTATCATGATTAGTTGGCTCACCAACTTCCACTTTTTCTCTCCTTTTTGTTCAACACTTCTTACAGCATACCAAAAGTTCATCAGACCTCTCTCTCTCTCTCTTTCTCGTCATCCCATTTTTACTGCATCCATGTCTGTCAGATTCTATTCATGTCCGGTGGGGTAAAAACTTTATCCAATGGGTCTTGAATTCTCGCCATGAACCATCTTTGACTGGAAATTACAAAAAGATGATAAACCACAGAGTTTTAAATACCTGCATTTCTAGTACATGTTTTCATAATTGTGATGTTATTTATGATGAGGTGATAGGCATAGAATTCCATCAACAGTAGGAAGTTCGAGACACTCTCAATGACTCATATTTATATAGTTCCCTTCATAGTGATCTTATTGTTTTTCTTCTAATGATGTATAGACATTAGGAAATTAGACACAAGTAAAACTATGTAAAGAAACGTTGGTAATCAAACAAATGTCAACGTTTTTATTTGGGACGAAACACTTCATTATCTCCAAACTTTACAGTTTACTCCATGGTTAATCTCAAGATATAACATATACAAGAAAATCAGTATTTTTAGCATACATAGGGATCAAGATGCTACTCAAGTAACCATTCTAATGAAGGTGGGGCATGGTTATAGGGATACTACCACGGTGGAAAGTGCTTATGTTTGAATGCAAAGAATCCTTTTATGTTCCAAGTGAAATACAAGAATGCAAAAAAACTTCCCCAAATGCTAATATATATGTTGCTTGGCATTCGACAAGAAGCCCCAAGCTTAGTACTTAGCCTTTGTTATTCGAAAACCTTCCACCGTGACTACCGCCCCAACTGAATGATCACCAGCTCCGCCCCTCGAAAGGCCTCAATTCCTCTAGTTTCCTTGGTGGCTTTGGCTCTTCAGTTGCCGAGATTGAAATATATCGGTTGTTCATACTGTACTTCTGATTGAGACTGCAGTATCGCTACCATCATAAAGGAACATCCTTGTTTATCACTTGGATCTAGTGTCATTTTTGAGACGAGAGTTTCAAGTAGATCATCTAATTTATAAATAATTGTACGTAAAAGAAGACCATCTGTGATAAAGTTTGAAGCTTTTAATTGATATGTATGGTTTCTCAGAGTGCTGGCCTTGGGCCAGTAAATACCTCTAAAGCAACTAATCTTAAGTTTGGGGGAGGAGAATGGAGAACCAATTCAATTCAATTCAATTATCTAAACTCATAGTCTGTCAAAGCACCATCAATGTTCTGCTAACCTGATAAATGACACCAACAAGGTGAATACCCAAATAAATGTAGTGACTAGCAGTTGTTACGAGAACCAAAGCAACATGGAAAGTCGTCCAATTTTTATAACAGGAAAAAAAATCCCGGGTTTCAATTAACTCAAACATGACTTACAAGGTTTCAATCTTACACACAGACTATAGAGCGTCTAAAGACTTCATCTGGCCTCCAGTGAAGCCTAGTAAACCAAACCCTGCAGAAAGCAAAAAGTAGCTCAAACTAGTATCACTGAACTAGCCTCACATAAATCTAAAAGATACACCTAAATTTACCATTGCACGATAAAAGGAAAGCTATAAGACACGCTGGAACGGCAATGGAATGTAAATACAGAGCAAAGCTGCAATGGATGCACAATTACTACTATTTTCCTTGAATCCATTAAAAAAAAAATCAGAATCGAAGGATTTAGACATATCTTTTCAGTTGCTTCCATTTCCGTCTTGCTTGCCTTAAGTCCTTAACAGTGGATAAGGTTCCAAGTCCTACAGTTCTTTTCTAATATATACGCATCAAGAGAGGGAAAAGAAAGGGTTCACAAGGCAGGCACTGTTAATATTAAAAATTATTTAAACAAAAAACTATGTTTATAATGATTAAAAAGGAGGGAAAGTGAGACTGGGCAGCTTACGTCCTCCCTCTGGCCCGTGTGTGGCCACTGGGTATGAGGCCCTGTTCGCCAAAATGGAGATTCTTGAATGAGCAATAAGATTTGTGGCACAAAAACATACCAAGCATGGCAAGGATCCTCTAGGACGGACGATGGAGCTAAGATTCAAAGAATAATGTGCCTAGTGGAAGCGTGTGAGGAAGTATAATAAAATTGAAGTAGTGTGAGATGTTCGAGGTTTAGAGTGAAAAAAATAGAAGATCAATCTACTTGTGAGATGTTTGGGATGTTAATTACACCTTGAAGGATATTTTCTCATATTAAAAAATCCAGCTGCCCAAAAAGTCGAGTGTGAGGGAGTTTTGGGATATGATGACATCTGAGAGTTGGGGCCTCAAACTTAGAAAACACTGGTGGAATAAGAGGTCAAAGAAGTAACTGGGTCACTGGAAAAGATACAGCTAACCAACAATGATGATAGGCAAAGGCAAATTTTCCTCTAAATCACTATTTTCAAAACTGCTGCCTTGAGGAACATCTATATCAACCTACTATACAAATACAATCAAGGTTAATTTTTTCTTATTCCCAAATTCTTGGGTGAAGTAACACGGGGGATATTATTAAGCGGAGGGTTCCAAAACTGAATTGGTGTCCTCTATTTTGCAGGAAGAAAAAATCAAATTCACTGTTTGTCCATTTCCAGTATAGTCTATATATTTGGAGGGCCTTTCTCCAAGATTTGAGAGAGTACCTTGGGTAATCCAGTTGAATGCAGGGGAAATCAAAAGTTTAAGATGATAATTTAGGAGCTTTGGTTCAAGCAAAGAAGTAGAACTTTATGGGAAAGAATAACCATCGGGAAGGAGGATGTGGTGCCTAGCTGATTTTTTTGCTTCTTGCTGGCATACCCTTCGCAAAGAGTTTTATTTGTTCTAATAAACTGTTTTTGGCCATGTCTTTTGTGTGTTCTCGGATTGCAGAGAGTATTTCTCTGTTCTCCTTCATACACATCCAATGAAAAATTTTGTTTCTTTATTTCTAAGTCATGGGCTTCCAACATCATCAAGAAGCCAACCATGTTAATAGTAAACTATTTACTAATGGAAAATAATCTCAGTTGAGGTATGCTTAAAAAGCTTCTAAACCTCCCCCAACCATGATACTTTGACCATATCAGAAACTTCAAATTAAGCAGAAACATATCTAGTAACAACTAACAATATTTTATTACCAGAATATGCCAGAGTACATCAGAATAGTTTTATCTGCATGCATCTCCCATGCTCAATGATTTCTGGAAGAATGTCAGTCTTGGTCGTTTCTCTGAAAGCAAGTGAGAGCTATATTCAGTTTCATATTTTACCATCCATATAAATTTCAACCCACAATTCTAAAACCTATTTCATATATCAGCTGGTCTGACAATGTGTACCTAAATTCATCATTTTTAAACTTCCACCAACTGTTGCTTCATATTAGCTATAAACAAACTAACTCACATTAGAAATTAATGTTTCCACCAACTATACACATAAGTTCTATGTAGAATCAATATCATGATACAGGGTGCTTCTTCCCTACTATAGATCTAAAGGTTATGGAGTGGAGTTGCATTTGAAACAAGTACATCACAACATTTAATCTAAATAAAATTTGGGGGTTCTCCAAGTTCTCTTTGATAATCCTAGAAAATGTACAATTCTACCTTCACCTCTTGTACAATCAAAATGGTACAAACAAAGTTCAAAATATTTGGATATATTTTCAAATGTGTAAAGAATTCATATTTCCACAATCCAATGATTACTGATAATATGTGTCTAAAAATCCTCTGGCATTGAAACAGATCAAATTTGACAAAGTAACCAGTCATGAATAAAATCTCTCAAAGAGAAGAACAAGGAGCACTATCAGCAGTATAAATGTAAAGTACTTTGGTCAGAGACTTGAGGATGAGGAGATAACCCAGTGAACATCCGTAATATGACAAGTGACCAAGAAGAGGAGCATAGAAACACAGTACCATTAGCCAAACACATCAACCTGAATATTTATAGCAGATCCTCAGGGAGAAGGCAAAAGCACTCTCGTTCCAGTAATTAGAACAAGAACCTGGAGACATGCTAAATTGTTGCTCAAACTTCAAGGTGGAAAGCATGGGAGCTAAGCTATTCAATTGTCGCAACATTCTTTTTAAGTACTAGAAATTCTAGTTGTACGAATTACAAGCGGAGCTCAAAATTCCCAAATCATCACAAGACGGCGTAATAAAACAAATCCAAAACTGAGAAATAATACATCTATAATAGACTAACCTCAGAGACCTAGCCAAATCAATTAGCTACCGGCTCCGCTCGGCCGGCAACGGCCGGTTGAACCCACCTCGCCGATTCATGTACTGCCTAGGCTGCCGCTTGGTCACTACCCTAACGCCACTCACATCAGCACCAGCGACTGGCTTACCCTTTGTCGAATCGAAACCCACGGGAATACCTAATTTCTTCATCATCTCAATTTCATCCTCATCAGCCATGGCCTCCTCCACTACTTCCCCTCCACCGCCACCACCACCGCTACCATCTTTATTTTTCTTCTGTTTGTGCTGCTCCTTCGCAATGCCATCAACGAAGTCAGACACTGCTTTCTGCCTCTCCTTTTCATCGTCAGCAGTCAAATCCCGGCGGTGACGCTTTCGAGCATGTTCCGGAGAGGGCGTACGATGGCGGCGACGACCGGAACGGTCCTCAGGAGTACGGGAAAGAGAACGCGATCGGTGCCGGTCCGGCGAGCGGGTGCGAGAGCGAGTGTGGCGGGATCTGGTGCGGTCGGGGGTGTGTGACCTTTTACTGCGGCCGCGCTCCCGTTCGCGGTCACGGTCATCTCGATCCCTACGCCGTTCCCGGTCCCGCTCACGGTGGTCACGGTCCCGCTCCCGGTCCTTGTACCTATCGCGGTCGCGGTCTTTGTCTCTATCGCGGCCTCTGTCTCGATCTCGTTCGCGGTCGACCATGGTGGACTGAACGGAAGAAAATCTCCGGTGGTGTGAGGAAGCTCAGAGTGCAAGTTCTTCAGCAATCGGGTTTGAGGTTTCGGGATACGCGGGAAAAGCCCCTGCCTTTCTGCAAAATTACCGAAACAGCCATCTGTTCAGAATAGGAGGATCGTGAAATTGTTTTTGGGCCGTGGCTACTTATTTGGGCCTTCACGGTCGTGAAGAATGATTGGGTCTGAGCTAGTGACATCATTCATGGGTCGTGTCTACTGATTTGGGCTTTGGGATTCTGCGGATCAGATTGTTTGGGCCGAAACGATCCATCAGACAAATCCGCTAAATACAAAAACAGATCCATATATAGTCACTTCTTTGAGGTGTCATCAAGAATTAACCCACATTTAAAGAGATTATATGAATGATAATTTGGTTGGAAAACTTGTGATTACTTGTTAGAAAATCATGAAACGTGTGCGAACATGAGCATAGATGTTAATTAGTTAATACTTATTATCTCAAACCAAAAGATTCGTAGATTCGAATTATCATTTCACATTTTACTGTACTAAAAAAATCATGAAACATGTAAAAATATATTTTTATTTTGGTTTTTTTAATAGCTTTTAATGAGTAAATAAGGTAGGTCATGTTTTATTCATCATAATAATATTAATCAATATTCAGTAAGCAAATACCTATCGATCGGTCAACATCTAAATATTATTCATATTTTAAATTTAAGATAAGATAAAAATAATGTTGGAAGTAGGACCAACCTAAACATAGTTTAACATAATTTAAGCACTTATCTTATTGTCTGTAACTCGAAAATCGTAAGTTTRAATCCTTACTCTCCACTAAAAAATAATAAATAATTTTTAAAATATGGGTAGGTTTATTTAATATGGGGAACAAGAAGCCTTTTAGAATTAATAATGGAAAGGGTGTATTGTAATTTGTGTATATGCAAAAGCATGCGTACACCGAAAATCGAAAGAAAAAGGGAAAAGAAATTAAAATTAAAACAACCGCTGCCCATCTCCACATGCATACACTCTTTTCTTCTTGGGGACCAAACCCAAAAAGGAAAAAATATATATACCCTTTTCAACAGCCCCCAACATCGAGAAACTAAGTATATAGTTTAAATTAAATTACAACAACTTTTTTTTTTCTTTTTTATCTATTAGATATATATTTTTTGATTTAAGGTCCTAAAATTTTTTTGTATTTGATAGAATTTTCATTTTTCAAATTTGTGTTAGAGGAAGTTTCTGCAATTAAAAAAAATGTGTAACAAGAATCAAAGTTTAGAAACGTATTATATAGAATGTTGAAAGTTTAGAGACTTATATAACACATGACTTTGATCGTCCAACACTAAAATATTTAGTTGTCTAAGAAATTTATAAAATTTTAATATTCTAAATAGATATTGACGATGTGGTTTAAATTTATTCCACGTAGATGTATAATTATTTATTTTTTTAATTTCTACAATACGTAGAGGTGGAGGTGGAGATTATTTCATCTCATATAACTTTGTGGTTGACGTCTAAATATCAAGTTAAACTATTATCTTATCTAAAAATCAAACGATTAGATTAAGATAAATTTGATTTTTAAACGGTTAGATTACGGATGAAATTGAATGTAAAATGAGATTTTTGCATGCAATAGTGTTCTAGTAAGTATGACTAATTTAGGTGAAATCTCTCTATCTGGTTAAGTATGATAATTAATTTGATTAGGCAAATGGAAATTAAGAGAGGAAGAAAAAAAAAAGAGAGAAAAAAATGGTGAAGGGTTGCGCATGTGTGATGAGCTCGTGAAAATCACAAGAAAAAAAAAATAAAAAAAAAGGTATCACTTTATTTTTGTTGATGTGTTGAAAAGAAATTAGGTGTGTGCATAAAATAAATAGCATTCATTTTGAATGGGTGAAGGCCACTTTTTCTTTGTTGGTTGGTGAGAAAAGCTTCCCTTTCCCTCATCATATATTAATTGTAATTTTCGATTCATCATCTTATATTTTACAAAAATTTTATACTCTTTAGATCGCTATGATCAATTTTATACTCTTTAGATCGCTATGATCCGTTGTTATAATCATCGTATCCTAAACTTACGAAATAGTTGCAAGTAAACTCTACTTCTATTACATTATTTGTGATAGATTGTTAATTCCACAAACTTACCCTTGATACAATAATCAAACTGTCTAACTATAGAATTATTAATAATTTAACCAAAAAAATTGTTTTATAAAATCCAAAAACTATAATATTAGCTCAAATATAATAATTTCATAGTTCAAAGTTTAAAGTTTGATTGTAAAATTAAAAACTTTTGGGTTAAGTTGTAATAGCTATATAGTTTAGTTTGAGGTTTTATTTCTTATAGTTTTATGAATGGTTTATGCGATTTGCCGTATACACTTTGAAGCTTAAGTTATAACTTAGTTTGGGAGAGTCAAGAGCATAGTGTTTTTCAAAATATTGGGTACCTTTAAGAAGAGTTTGACTCATTTTATAAGGGAGCGATTTGAGGGAACATGCTCCACAAAATCTAGGTCGTACCGTCAAACATAGATTCACTATTCGCCGCTAAGGATACTCTTACATGCTTTTAGTCAAATTCAGCAGAGATATCGTGCCAAATGAACTCTGTGGCTTACCGCGTTCGGATTAGGTCCACGATTCTCACGTGTCTCATCGAGTTTTAAGTCCACAACAATAGATGATGTATTTCAAAATATTTTTTTTCTTATATATACTATCATTTTCTTTTAACTATCTTCTCCCATATTTAAGCTTTCACTTAAGGTTTATGATTTAAGACTCACATGCTAGTACAAAAATAATGATTTTTTAGCTTTGATTTTATGCAAAACCAGTGCTTTGAAAACCTACTTCTCAAAACTGATAATTTTCAATTAATTTAAATATGAATTTTGATTAAAATTTGAATAAAATCTCCAATATAATACAAGGGAATGTAACTCCCATTTATTTTTCCTAGTTCCTTTTTGCAATTTTCTCACTAATTTCTTTTAAAAATCAATTTGATTAAATACTCCCATTCATCTTTTCACAAAAAGACATTGAATAGAAACCCTAATTTTAGGATCTAAACAAATTGTTAATGTTCTCAAAATCATAAACATCCATGTGATGTGAGTAAATAATGGTCAAAAAGGGATCATTTCCAAACTTCCAAGTTTAGTCTTAAACCCAAAAACATGAGCCATATGGGCTGATCTGAATCTCATTACTCTACACAAAATTAATGTCTCAAAAACAAGAAATCTACACAAAAACTAACGTGGTTTTTCATTAAATATTGTACATATATGTTCAAAGTTAAACTACTATATGTTTTCAACCTTAAATGTTGTGTATCATTTTGTTTTAACACATTAATAAAGATAAGAGACAGTTTCAGGAGGTTAAATTACTCTTTTTTTCCATGTAATTTGAACACTATCCTATATAATCTCTAAGGGTCCGTTTGATAACTATTTTAGTTTTTAGTTTTCTATTTTTAAAAAATAAAAAGCATATATGTTTGATAATCACTTTCCTTTTTTTAATTTTACATAGAATTTCAAAATGGTTTTTGAAAAATAAGAAACAAAAAATTGAATTGGTTATCAAACAACCTTATTTTTTTAAAACTAAAAACTAAAAATAAAAGACGAAATGGTTATTAAATGGGCCTAAGTTTTAAAATTTTTAATTACACCATTTTTAAATTATAGCAAACAGCTTTAAATTTTGTCATCAACTTCAATGTATTAGAAGTAAATATAACCTCTTCATTTTTACAAAATTTATATGAGGTTAATTTAATAGATTAAAATTGAATCCAATCCAAGCATAACTTAAGCAAATAAGACAGTTATTAACATCCTAAGGTTGACGGTTTAATCTCTCATCTTACCATCGTTGAACTCAAAATATATGCAAGATAATTAGGATTGGATTAGAAATTATGATCCGAAAGAAAAAAAAACAAATTAAAAGTGTGATATATAAATCATTTTCTAATTTTATGAAGCCTTATAAATGCTCTTGAACATACAATAACCAAGATGATAAATGATAAAAAGATCAAAACTATTAAAGTTTTAAATTATATGGACTAAAATAAAGTTTAAGGACTAAATTGTTAAAAGTGCGGAGACTAAATCGTTACAGACTAAAGTTAAAAGAAAATTGATACTTTGACCAAAAAAAAAAATTTAACTTAGTTTAATTTTTGTCCTTTTATCATTTATCACCTTGGTTATTGTATTTTCTAGAGCATTTATAAGGCTTCCTAAAATTAGAAAATGCTTTACATATCACACTTTTATTCCGTTTTTTTTTCCTTTCAAATCATAATTTCTAATTCAATCCTAAATTCCTGGTACATATTTTGAGTTCAACGATGGTAGGATGAGAGATTAAACCGTATTTTATATATTAGTAATATTTTATTGATATTTTTCTTATTTTACCGATTTTTCATACTATGGAAATATCGATGATGAATTCATGAATACAGAAACATGATGATATTTAATTAAAGAATTGAAAAAAAAAAGAAAGAGGAGGAGAAGAGAACAGAGGAGTGTCTGTAAGACAAAGGCAATCATCTCTCTCGACGGTACACCGGTAAAAACCAATCCACAGCCCCACACGTAACTCGCACACGAATACTAACTCTCCACCGAAGTACAGTACAATACAATACAGCCACCCACTCCTCCTCCTCCTTCTTCTTCTTCTTAAATTCAATTTTCTCAACCCCCAAACACAATCCCCACACACACTTGTCTCTCTGTTTCTGTTCCATATTTCTGCCATTTTCTCTTCTTCTTCTTCTTCTTCTTCCTTTTTGGTTCTTTGCTTGAGCTCACACCATTCTCTTCGGACTTCCCAAAGCATGAAGCACAACATAAGGAGGAGCGGCAGCTTCAGACGCCTCTTCTCTCTCAAACGACGTAGTTCTGGACACCAATCTGATTCCTCCCAGAGCTCACAACCCGCTTCTCCCCACCATTCCCACACACCCTTTTGGAAATGCTTCTCTTTTCATGAACTTTTCGACGCCACCGATGGGTTCAGCTCAGGTACACTCCTCCGAAAGGCTAAACAAATGAAAAAAAGCTTCCTTTTTTTCAACTGGGGCTCTGTTTTTTCTTCATTCTAAATCGAGATGTCTCTGTTTTTCCATGTGGGTGTTAGACAACTTGGTCGGAAAAGGAGGGTATGCAGAAGTTTACAGAGGCATTATGAGCGACGGCGAAGAAATTGCTGTGAAAAGGCTCACCAAAACCTCCACAGACGAGAGGAAAGAGAAGGAATTTCTTACAGAGATTGGGACAATCGGCCATGTCCGACACCCTAATGTTCTGTCTCTCTTAGGCTGCTGTATCGACAATGGCCTTTACCTCGTTTTCCACTTCTCCTCTAGAGGCTCTGTCGCTGCTCTCCTCCATGGTTAGGCAAATTTCTTCACAAACCCATTTTAAATTTTGTTCATTCTCCATTTCCCAGATGAGCTTTCTTTTCAATTCTTGTTTTGGTTTTAACAGATGATGATTTGGGCCCAATTGATTGGAAAACGAGGTCCAAAATAGCTATTGGGACGGCCAGAGGACTCCATTACTTGCACAAGGATTGCCAGAGGAGGATTATTCATAGAGATATCAAGTCTTCAAACATTCTCTTGACGGCAGATTTTGAACCTCTGGTTTGTCTCTGAATTTATATGGAAATGCCCTTTTTTTTCTCTCTTTTACCTTCATCGAAATCTGACATTTTTATTTTACATTCATAGATTTCAGATTTTGGGTTGGCTAAATGGCTCCCTAACCAGTGGTCTCACCACTCAATTGCCCCAATTGAAGGGACTTTTGGGTAATTATAGAAAGTTTTGACTTTTTGATCAGGTTGTTTAGAAAAAGATGGAGTTTTTATGAAATGGGTTTCAATCATCTGCAGGCACTTGGCCCCAGAATACTATATGCATGGAATTGTAGATGAGAAGACAGATGTTTTTGCTTTTGGAGTATTTCTTTTAGAAGTAATCTCTGGAAGAAAGCCTGTTGATGGGTCTCACCAAAGCCTACACAGCTGGGTATACCAAATTATTTGATCAATCAATATATTTCCTCGCTTTACATTTTTCTTTTGTTTGTTGTTTTCTGGATTCCAGTTTTCAAATATATATTTTATAAGTTCATGATCTTCAAGAAACAACCACCATTTCCTTGGCTTGTTTTCTCTATTAAACTCTTTCATTCAATAAACAAAATGGTTATTGGTTGTGATATTTACCTTTTTCTTTCGATTCACGAACGGTTGGTGATGGTTTTTCGCCTTTTGTTTTCGAGATCAGTGGCTGGTTTCTTCAAGAATTAAACTACACCAAGTTGTTGATAATTTGACATGATGCTCATGTGGTTGTGCTGATACAATCAGATACTAATTCTGAAACAAATGCAGGCCAAACCGATATTGAACCGGGGAGAGTTCGAAAAGCTGGTAGATCCACGACTCGGAGGGGCCTACGACCTTGTGCAGCTGAAAAGATTTTGCCTTGCAGCTTCTCTATGCATCCGAGAGTCTTCGTTGTGGCGACCTACCATGACCGAGGTACCTAACTCCATCCTTGAATGTATACATACAAACCTCTTATGGAATCAACCCTTTCAAATAATAATCTATACATTTGCTGGCTTGTCCTTTTTGTATCATAGTCTTAAAAGATTTCTAATCATCATCAAATGCATCATCCAGTTTTAGATAATGTCGAAATCGCCATGTTGTATACCGTCCCGAAAGAGAAGTAGTTATATGTTATGATTATAATTTCTCCTCCGGATTTTCTTGATTTCTTGTTTTCAAATTATGTAGTGACTTGTAGGTTCTTATGGAGAAACCTTCTAAAATTGTAGTTTGGAAGTTTTTATGGAAGTTCATAAAAATGAGGTTGCCCCAAGGCCCAAGCAATGTTTTCAACTCCCCTAACCTAAACTTGAATTTCTAGGCAAGGAAAAGGAAAAACAGAATATGGCAATCACATGTGATTAAGATTGCCCAAAATCACATTAATAAAGGATCTGATCTTGACTTTCTCCCACTCTCTTTCTATTTCAACTGTTCATTTAGTGAATGTGATCTCTATAAGCAGCCAAACAAAACAGAACAATATTTTCGACATTTTCATTAGGCTAATCGAAGTTTCGTCACGTTAGCTCGATCCATTTGGTTTCGACGTTTTCATCCACGATACTGAAGTGAATAGTCTCCCCTTCCCTTCCCTCCCCAACGCAATCATAGGGACAGATTTTAATGTGATAACTCTTTTCGGGGTCACGAGCCAGCGAAGGCAAAGCTAAGCAGAATGGTCTGTTTTCGAAATTGACAGGTACTTGACATTATGGAGGACCGGGACATCGATACCGAGAGATGGACAATGCCAGAGGAGGAAGCAGAAGAGAAGGATGATTTCTGGGGTTTTGAGGACTTGGAATATGAATGGGACAGTTCCTTCTCCATCAGCCCCCATAACTCAATGTAGGCCAAGCTTGAAGTTTGATTGAACAATGTCCAAACCACACAATAGAGAGACAGTAAATTGTGTACATATGAAGGTAGATTGAAGTGCTAATAATGCAAATTTTTAGTGAAAAAAGAGTTTTTTGAGCACTTGTCCACTTGTTCTTCCCATGTGTTATTTTGATTCCAACTAGGACCAAACATGTCCCACCACTCTCTACATTTAAAATGGGTTAACTTTCGTGAATCGACCTGACACAAACTCAACTCGTGAACATCATTCAAGGTTGGGATTTCTGTCAACTTCTATATGTTTAAAACCTAATTTTTCAACCAACTCGAACACAACTCAATTGGTCAAGATATTATCAAATTTTTACTTTACCTTTAATGTAATTTTATAATTTTTTAACCTTATTATGAATAACTCTAAATTTGAATATTGGGAGGGATGAAAACCAACAAATTTGTGGATGAAATTGTGTGCTTTTAGGCATTTAAGTCTATAATAATTGAGGGGTGGGGAACAAGAACATTTTTCATATTATTGATGTGTATTTTTGCCCCATGGCTCAAAATGGCTGGCAAGTATTTTGAAAATAAAAATTACAATCTTGGATCCAAATCATTAAAAAATAATAATAAATAATCAAATTCTGATGTACTGTTACTCCTGTGAGCCCTTAGGTTTTGGGCCCCACTTTACACAATTTGAGAATTGTAAATTTGTTTGCTTCTTCTATTCTACATGATTTCTCTGTTATTTTTATTATATTTAATTTATAATAGCTTGTACCTCAATTAAATGCATAATATTAAAACTAATTAAGTTTTAAGACCTATCAATTCATATTAATGCTTAATCAGTTTCTTTCTCAATACTCTTTGATATTCTATCATTTGGTAAATTAATTAACATCCTAATTCAATTATTGCCCCATAATAGCACTATTAAAAATTGCTCAAGTTTATAATATTACTACCATTAATGGCTATATCCTAATTTGGGCCAGGAATAAATGGAACTCACTTAATTATCAACTTTGAGCAATAATAAAATATACTACTTTAGTTGATCTACTTCTAGCTTTTGATTATTTTGGTTCCCCTATTTTTAAAATGTAAATTTTTATCGGGTTCATTCTAGTCTATGTATTTTAAAAATATTTGTTCTGTACTTTTAAAAGTGGATCATTTACTAAATGTTAACGCAAATTCAATATACAACGAAAAATCTTTAATATAAAATTATTGCTACATTTCAATGAAATATATTAAATATAGTGTTGTGTGAAATTGTGATCCAAAAAGAATTAAAAATAAAATAATGGGGTTAAAACTAGTATATGCTCAAACAAACCTTTCAAAATTACAGTAATTAAAATAGACAAAAATTAAATATACAATGACCAAAATGAACAAAAATTAAACGTATGGGACCAACGACCATAATGGTCAATTCATTTTTAAGCTCACTATAATTTTTTCAGCTCAATAATTTAACTAAAATCAAATTGGGGTGTCAAAATCAAAACTGTCCCAGTTGGTGTTAAATTCATCAAAATGAATTAATTAAAAGCTATTAAACATTGGGAATATGATGGATTACCAAATGTACCTACATATAGAGACTTCCCACATATATAAAATAGAAAATTTTAATTTATCAATTAAAAAAGGAAAAAAAAAGAGGGGAAAAAATGGTTAAAAGGTAAGGGGTGGATGTGGCATATTATAAGGGTAGCCCTAGCCAACTCAACAACTCAGAGTTTCTGATCTTTATTAAATAAATAAAGTTATATAGTTGTGGCCTCAAATTATTTGTGGACAAAGATTTTGAACCTTTATTTATTTATTTATTATTTGTTTATTTTTCTATATTGTATCAAATGCACTATCCAAAAAAAACCCTTACTATTATATAAATACTTCAAAAGGAGGGATTTTTTTAATAATGTTTTTTCTTTGTTTCATTTCAATATGGAATATACTAAGTAAATGGCAGTTTATGATTAGTTATAATCACAATACATGCTGGCTAAATAATGTGCTTTTTATATTAGAGAAAATGAATAAAGATTCTCTCTTATTTGATCTTATTCAATACATCAAAATTTTCAATTATCAGACCTTGGTGGTTTTGAAGTGATTCAAAGTTCTACATACATATATATCATTAAAAATACGGTTCTAAAATACGGTTTTTAGAGAGAGCATTTGGCTTCTAGTCGAACTATTAATTTGATAATTTCATGAACTACAAAAATTTAAATTTAGATGACAATACGAATTCTTACCTCTCACAAAATTTTAATCTAAAACTTTAATTTCAAAACTTATCATTAAATAGTTGAAATATAGGCGACATAAATTTAGCGTTCAACGTCAAACTACATAAATTTACCAGAGTAATATTGAGCAACCTTTTCGAATCAAATCAGTGTCATTATCAGCCTTATTTTCCCTTAATCTTGATTAAACTCAAAATTTTTTTTCCATCAAGAAAAGAGAATCCCAATTAAAAAAGGGGGGAAAGGAGAGAGTTCTTTTAGAAATGAAAGGCATGGGAGTTGTTTGACCTAAAAAGATTTTAGAGGGCGGCTGGTTCAACAGCAACATAACAATTAAAATGATAAAATAAACAGGGATTGCACTTGGCAGAATAGTGGAAATTTTGTTTCAAAATAATATTGAGCAATTCAGTGAAACAACTCCATGATTTTTAAAAGTGGGTTTTGGTGAAACAGATTGGGACTCCAACTTTTTCCTTTTTAAATAATTGGGGAAATTTATCTCATTGAAGGTTTCTTTTATAATGGAAGTCAACCACAAGAACATACGTATAACCATTGGAATAGTGTGTTAATTAAATAGTCAACATTACCACTATAGTTATGTTTCATAATATATAACTGTAAAATAGGATTCCCAATAGTCCAAATAAATAAACTCCAATATAGAATACACAACACAACTCATTATAATTACAAAATTTTCCTACTATTCCTTTCAAATCCAAACTATACTCAGAACTGAACTACCTAACAAAATTTTTCGATGTTTCTTGCCCTCTTTCGGAAGCAAGTCCAACCTTTTCTTTAGGAAATCTTCAACGTAAGCCTGAAAAGATGCATTCTTCGAGTTGTTACATCTGTGAAGGCAGGCTATTCATGTTGTAATTGGGAAATGAAAAGCTTCTGTTACGATGCCAACCGATTCTATCGTTGTTTTATCCTGATTGAGTCAAATTATGGAACTCGAGAAGCATACAATGTGACATGTCCCAATCGATGAGATATATTCGGCTTGAAATTAATCGGCAGCAATGGTCCTCCTCTCCAATAATGATTCTAAAAATGCTGAACACAGCTTTGTCAGAGGTGGAAGTTCATGTGATGAGCCACTGAAAATGGTCTCCCAAGGCCGGTGTGATGGAACAGATGGGGCAGACAAGGTCTGGTCCATCTTTGAGTCAAATTCTGGTAGTTCGCCATAGATAGCTTCGTATCCAAATTTTTCTGAAATAATTTGCAAGATTAATAATCATTGGGTTGACATGATTTTCCAACTGAAATGAAAGCTAGTAAAATCAATTCTGCAACCCATGGGATAATAATATGTGGGGTCCAAAAGAAAGAAAGAAACACACAAGAAATAGACAGACGTGATACTTATCCAGTTAGCAAACTTGAAAATAAATCCACCTATGCAAACCACAAGAATGAAAATGGCACAAGAGATCTCCTTTACAGTTATAAGTTATAACCAGTAATAATGCATTGATAAAAACCTATTTAGCAGTCCCAGTTCGATCTAGATTTACTTTTGAGCCACCAAAAATTTTTAGGAATTCAAAGATCCCCTTTTTCCCCCTCCCAACTATATATATATACATATAATACACTACACATGCACATTCTTTTTTATTTAAAAAAAATTAGAGAACTAGAGAAAACGAGGATATTGTGAAGCAGAAATAAGAAGAAATGTAGGCAGCATAACTGTCGAAAAAACACATTGTTGTACGATTAAAATAGAAAAAAAATGAGAATAATATACCTCCTGTTTCTTCAAGGGCGTGATAATTCCCCTGCTTGGTCAAACTAAGCTCTTGTGCCTCCGAGTCGGATGGATCAAATAGAGTATACTCATGGTCACCATTGATATAGACAAGTAATGGACTGCCCGATTTCCCATCTGAACTATTATAATATTTTTTGGCTCGAACAAAGGCAAGACCCCCTCCCTGAGCCTGTGGTGTACACCATCATAGAAATGGATAATTAATTATAAATTAGCTATAATTAATCAAATAAAGGAAAACAAAGGATGTTGAAAATACTCTACCTTCCTAACAGACCAGGTACTCTGAGGAACAGGATCATTAGCATTAAAATGCAATATTATTCCATCTCTCCCTTGGAATGTTGACTCGTTAAATTGCAAATGTACAGATTCAGGGATAAGAGCAAGTACAGCAAAAGAAGACATATCCACAGCACAGGCCATAGCTGTAGAAGCAAATAATGGACTCTGAGCAAAGATTATAACGATCTATGGTTGTGGCTCATATGACACCTAGCCATAGACAAAAATAGTTGATGTATATAAAAGCTAATAGTTCATGAAATGATTTTCCAATAAAGGATCTAGTTGAAAGAAACATGTATTCGTTTATCAGGACCCATATACTTCTTTCCCGTTGTGCAAGAATATAGAAACCCCATTCAATCAGTGAAAAGGTCTGTGGAAATTCAAAAAAAATCTATGCCACTCCACTCTTGTCCCCATACCCATCCAAGAGGCTCACAAAAACTCTTGATATAGTTAATTACATACAAGGAATAATTAGAAAGGAATTTGAGAGAGAACCAATTAGAACTAATAACCCCGGCAAGACCTCACTACGTCTACATCCAACTCCTGCTCTCATCATTGAAAACCATTTGATTTCTTTCTTAACAAATCTCTCAAAGGATAATTTAATAGCATCCTTTCGAAGTCGTGGCCACCAAGAAACAACAATATGTTTTACTTGCCAATAGTTCCAACTAAAAAAGCACTTGAATGAACAAGTGCATTGATTTTACTCATTCATCTTTACAGAAAACACAATGATCAGGCCTCAAGGAAGTGTCTGGGCATTTTATCAGGACCCATGTATTTCAAATTGCGCAGGTAAGACTTGAATCACTCCCAAATAGCAGTTAGCTTCCATCAAACCAGCATGTTTATTGTCCCAAAAGCTCGCAGTTAGTAAATTAGTTGTCACTAGACAATCTATTTTGAATTCCTAAAAGGAAAAATCAGTCTTTCACTCCTTACAGCTGCTGATATTGTTAATACAACCTAATGAGGTAAGAATCTCTAGAGTCTAGGACTAATTAATATGCAATAAAAACTAAAACATGCAGTTTTAACATTATTAACATCCTCCTTCATCAAAGAATTTTAATGATCATTTTCTTTTCCTTAATAATTTGTGAAATTAGTCTTCTACTGTTTGTGTTTTCTTTTAGCAGAACAAAGAAGTGAATCAATCAACCATATTCAAGTTGAATTATATCGAAATACTTGATTCAAGTAAAAGGAAAAAGGAGAGGGTATTGAACCTTCTACGTGAAGTTTGTATGACCAGGATATTGACAGTTTTGACATATTCCAGACAGACAGTTGTGGTCTTGAACCTTGTGACACAGATAAAAGGAACTCAGAGTCTCCAGCAAAGGAAAGATTCACAATTGGCTGTCCAAATTGGAAAAACTTTAGTTCATGAGAGAGATGAATATAGATAATAAAATCAAAAGGAGAGATTATTTTCAATTCACATCAATAGTTTTTCTTCCGTTTTCTTTCTTTCCTCCGGACCTCACTAAGTAAGAAAGTTCTTGTAAATGTAAGTACAGTATTCCAGCTTTAATGGCAGACTTGAAATCAAGAGAATCTTCATACCCACCAAATAACATTACATATATGCCACATAATGAAAATGACAAGAAACGTGATCAAATACATAATGAATCCTCCTTTTGGGCTTTTGAAAAAATTAAGCACCACCATTTATATTGACAAGAGGCATGTTAAATCTTCTTTCAATTGAAACACGGGACTAGACTAGGATGAATTTGCAAGTTCTTCCTATTCAGGATCCACTTTGTCATGTTCAATGGAAATATAGGAAAATACAGAAAATTTAAGTACCGTAAAAGTCTCTCCAATCACAGCAACGAGGACATTCAGCTCAGGGTCCCATAATGTTATAACAGTTTCTGCAGCAACAGCCAAAACCGAACCATCGGCAGAAAACGTAGCAGCAGTCATTGACTTCTTTCTGTAAAAGCAAAATCTTACATGAGAATTGGAAAAGGAACGATAAATCATCACTTTTCATCACCAGAGTAATGTCACAATTAAGAAATTTTTTAGGAAAAAAAAAACAATTTTTAACATCAAATCTAAGCCTACTTTTTACAAATACGTAAAAAGATATTTTGCCCCACTACTCAGAAGTCAGAAAACAGAAAACTGTAACAGCCTAACCAGAACAGTCGAAAGAAATGGATTAGATCCATACTTGTATGATCCAACAGCATGGCACATCCAATTGGAATTTTGCTGTCCCTGAACTTTCTGATGTCCATCGTTGCAAACCCATATCTAAACATAAAAATAAAAAATGAATTTCATTGCAGAAAAGATTTTTGTATAGAATTATCTTTTGTCCAATGGTACCTTGAAGTCTCCACCATATGATGTACTGACAGCCATAAGTCGAGTAGGGTGGAAAGTGAGAGCAGAAATAGCAGCATCCCTGTCAAATAGCAGAGCAAATTTCATTCAGATTAAAGTATGGGAAGAGCCATTTCTGCATCCAGCATAAGATATGAAATTATGATCATCAAAATTTCATCAAGCTGTAGTAGCCAGTTATTAACTTTTTTTTTACCATAGTTATTAACTTTCATATAATAATCTTTGAAATCATGCTCCATTATGGTTTGAAAACAGGACAAAAAACCAACCTGTGCGGCTCATATACAACGGTTGACAAATTAAACTTTTTGTTTTCCAACTCTGAATCCCAAAACTTGAGACAAATGAAACCTCCAATTCCACCTTCAGGACTTCTAACTTCAGCAGTACTCATTAAAGACCCATCTAGGGAGATAGCCACTGTAGTCACTACAACCTGTAACCACAATATTCAGGTAGACCATGATCAGTCACATAATTCCTACAGATATTATTTTCATTGAAGGACCCCCAACTTATAAGTTCACATACAGTAAGCTCTTCACCAGGTTGATGGTTCCTCTCACAAATTTGAACCTGAAAACATTAAATAGAGCACTTAAGACTTAGATTTACTTCTAAAATACTGAGACAAAAACTGAATACTTCTATTCAGAAATTGTGTCCAAACATGCGGCCCTGTATATACATATATAGGCAAAGAGATCTATTATGTTCAATACCTACAACATTCAACATAAAAACCGTGTGTACACAATGGAACCAATATCCGAGGTGCTGTTTGTTAGGTGACTCCTGTCTCTTTCTCTCTCCTCATTTGTTTTAGACAAGGTACAAAGAATACTAAGATAATATTTGGGGAGACAATTCAATATATCTTCTTGAGATTTACAAACTGTACGGGCCCACTTTCTTTGAAATATTTTTTTTTCGCGTTTTCAAGAATTCACTGAAAACATTGAATACAAACTTTGTCCGATTCTTAGCACGTCTCTGTCTTTGTATTGCACTCCATCTCATCTCTATCCCTTTTCTTCAGCTCCTCCAATGTATCTGTGATGAGACTTTCAGGAGTATTTTTCCAAACTCTCTCTCTCTTTTGGGGTAGGGAGGGGGTGCTCACTGATGTAAGTTCATCCCCTACTCATATGACCAATCCTTAGTTCTCAGGGGGCTTCTTTGTCCCACTCATGTGAGGTTCCAGAACTTGTTCGATAGATCCCTTTCTCTATATTTTTCTTCCCCTCCCTTTCAGGCCTTGATAATTAGGGCCAAGGTGAATTTAATTGTTTCGGTTATTTGTTCCTTTTTTGTATGGGATCCTTTTTGTACTTTTATTCGTCTTAATGAAAATTTGATCCATAGACACTAGAAAATCAACCTTACATAAAGAGTATCTGTGGTCTACGAAAGCCTAACGAGCATATTATACATAACATTGAAGGACATATCATAGCCTAATAACACCCATGTCAAACTTGAAACTACAGATTTATAAAAGCCACATCACAAAGCGATACTAACACGTGTACATGTTGTTGCCCCAACATCAACCAGTCTATAAGCCGATCTAGTAAGTAGATTCTCACCTCACCAATTCCACAGTCATCAAACAAGCTGTAGAATTGAATGCTGTAGTTTTCTGAACGCAGGGCTACTAAACCAGCATTTTGATCGAAGGCAAATCCATTATTAGAGCCTTGACATACATCCGGAAATGACCAAGGAAGCTAGAAAGAATGAAACACAAGGAAATTGCATTAGAATAAGGCTTGAAAAACATTTATAGAAAAAAAAAGCTATATATATATATATATGTAGCCATTATTTTTTTAATAGGACTAATAAATAAGGGGTAAGAGACTTTATAGAAAATAATAATAATAATAATAAATACGGGGTAAGAGTTGAAATTAGATACAGAGTCATGCAATCATCAAACTTTATATGCTTGAAATGCGGCAAGAGAACAGGCCAATAATATGAATATATTGCTAACAAAATCTGATGGAAGAGCAAAAGAAAGATTTCCTGAACCTACTTCAAGAATCAAGCCAATATGACAGAAATATCGATACTATCCTTATATATGACAACAATGGACCAGGAAAGGTACACTATTTTAGCATGACCAAAACTATTGGCCATATAAAACCATAATGTGTAAGAAAAGAACTCAATACTGCAGTGAGGAAATGCTGATAAAACAATTGTTTTACACAAGGACCCAGGATTGAAAGGATATTTTTACATAACTTTTTTATTAGGGAGTCTTTAGAGAGTATACCATTCTCCTAAACATGTCTCCATGACATGCACGGTGGCATCATCCACATCTCTTACTCAAACAGTCTCACTCATTCAAACATTTGGTAAGCACGCATTATAAACCATCAAGGCCACTTCAATTAAAAAGGGAAAAAATGTAAAAGAGTTGCTGAAAGCCTGAAACAAACCTTGATGCCAGATATGGTCTTCAAGATTTCCATAGAGGGCATTTTGAGGAAATGAATTTGATTGTCTGCACAAGATACCTGAAAACCTAGTTTCAATTAAAGAAAAAGGACTGCAAAACCAATGCCAAAACATACGAGGTCAATAAAATAAAGAATATCCTTACAGAGGCAAGCAGCGGATCTGGAGAATCGGTAAAATACAATAGTGGTGACCCAATTCGTGGCAAGTATTTCTTCTTCTCTGTGTCAAGTTGCCAAACCACAAGAACACCCTCCTTCCCACCTTAAATAAGATTCAAGTGTCTTGAAGATCAAATTAATATGATAGGAAGTAATAAGCAACCATTATGAGCAGATAAGAATATTGACATTAAGAGAAACATAATATATCTTATAAGTTATTTCCGGATCATCCCCATGGATATTGACGGGAAGAAGATAGTTGTAATTAACTGAATATTTGCCAAACTTAACTACATGCCGCCCCTGAAGAATTGGAACATGCAATACATTTTTTTCTCCGCTACGTTCATGTGAAGTGACCCATACCATCATCATCAACCCTTGTGAAACTGCACCCACTACATATAGCCAAATGTTGTAGTGGCCAATCTCATGCAAGAAGTCCATAAAATTATTCAAGTCTTTACAGACCTTCCAATTGCTAGCTTTGATAAGTCATTGTTACACATCTATTAACATCACATTTTCTATTGGAATAAAATTTAGGTTTTATTCCCAATTGTTATTTGTTAATATTATACCTGAATAAAGATATGCCCCATCAGAGGAGAATGAGAGAACGATCACTTCAGCAGGATGCCAGTGTCGTGTGGAGCAAGAATCAGCATCGTCATTTCCTCTTACTCCTGGTTTATCTTCATCACTATCAAAAGATTTTCTGCCAGCTTCTTCACCAGAAACAGGAAATGTCCGATGACCAAATCCCCTCCATATTAAAATTCGCCCAGTTACATCACCTGCAGCGACCATTCTTAGCGTTGGGTGAAATGCAAGAACTGTCAAGTCTTTTGTGTGATGCAGAGTAATCCTTTTAGCCCCTAAATTTTCGGACTCTACTTCTGGCACTTTCCAAACATGAATTTTGCGCTTATTACGGATGCCAAAGAACCTCCCTGACGAGCTAATAGTTATGTACTCAGGATGTTGGGTCTGTCAAGAGGGGGAACACATTATCATTCATCTTTAACAAAGTACTTCAAGCAGCAAGTAATAATGTGGTAATATACTTTCAAACCTTTCCGAGACACCCATGAGAGTCTAGAATTTTATACACGACTCTGTTTTACACCACAAATATAGTTGGGGATGTTTGAGTCAAATATATACACACCTCAATTGATTTCACAAGACAACCACCCAACCCTATAACAGTTAACATTAAAAAAATCCCTAGTACATTAATATCCTAAGTGGCAATCATGATCTGGACCCATAATCTCAAAGATAAAGATAGCAACAGCATAAGGCAGGCTCCCATCCTCTCTCTCTCTCTCTCTTTTGTATTCCCAAATACGAATACGAGTCAAAATCATATATGTCTCAATACTTTCCAAGCCAATAGCTGCACAATGACTTTGAACCATTAATTGAACTTAGACATATAGACTACCACATACAAAACATAATATTCAAGTGGACAAATATTTTATTCCAAATAAGCAACTATGAAAGCATTAGGCATGATGAAAAGAATCTCAGTGAATTACACCTCAGCCAAAATGAACCCAGCAGCCAAGCGAGACTTGGTTAAGTTACACTTAAGGATTTGTCCTCTCACAGGCATCGGTTTGTTATCCTTCACTTTTATGTTTTCAACTGATACATAAGCAAAAAGATCCAGAGATTTTCCATCACTCTTCATCGGTTGGCCTAATAAAGGGATGACCTGCAGAAGAAATGGTGTGCATTAAAAACAATTTAATAACTTAAAGAACCAACATATCTTTGTCCCATGCTCCACTTCGTTTAACTACTATTACTGTTCCATGTTTTACTTCATTGAAATACATATTGATTCGATGTTCTACCGCTAGTTTAGAATATACGCCAACTATGGAACCACATTTAACGAAGTTTCATAACTTGTTCCAACTTCTCATGATATACGAGGAGCAAACTATCTCCAAAACATTCTATATCATTAGCAACATGAAATACTGGAAAACAAATATCATTACTTGCTCCAACTTTCTAAGATATTAGAAAACGTCTCTAAAGAAGGTTCCATAACCTTCTAATTCCACGATGTCCGAACTCTAACGATAACTACCAGTAGCACTGTTAAATAATGAAAAAGGAGAAGCAGATAAATTACACTTCCCAGCAAGCATTTCAAAAAATGTAGAAAATAATTTCAAAACCTATATTTAAGTGCTTTCTTAAACCTTTTTGGTATGCAACAACGAGACTTAGAAAATGAAGAACTAGCTAACCATGGAGTAAACTGGTAAGCGAATATATATTGTCTTCATGAGCTCTGGCACCAAGAAATCCCAATAGCGAATAGTTCCATCGAGTGATGTGGTCCAACAGAAGCATAAGATCTTATTTGCTGGACTAGACGCCGGCACCACGGTGACCGAGGTCACCAAGGCCTTGTGACCCTCCAATGATGCAATCTTAAGCAGAAGCAGAAGAGTCCAGAACAAATGGAGCATCAGAAGAATTGATATATAGCTTAAAAATTGATTACAGACGCAACGAGGAAGATAGTCACCTGCAAGCAAGTGGAGGTGCTGAAAATGGAAACGGAGTTGGCCGTGCAGACAAGAAGGCGCTTGGCGTCATTGGAGAAAGCTGGAGGTGCTGATACGTAGCTCTTCCCGCCTCTAATCATCATACGGAGATAGAAAATCTGCAACTATGACGAGTGATGAGCACCTCCTCCAAGTGATGCTTCCTCCGCCAAAGCCCTAAAGCGACTGCTTAAACCCCTGTTTTCTTCAGCAGCCGCCGTTGGGAAATTCGGTTAAACGATGCCCTCCTTTTCGAATTTACGGAAATACCCTTACCCTTTGTTTTCTCTCCCTCGTATTTTTTGCCTAATTCAATACCTTCGTTGCGCGCGATTTTAAAATATTGTTTTATATGACTAATTGTTAAATTTTGTTTTATTCCAAAGAAAAAAAATGGTTAATTTTGTTAATTTTTTTCATATATTGTATTTTTTTTTTGAGGAAATATCGCATTTTTAATTTAATTAAACTTCATCATTATAATTTATGGAATCTCATGTTATATACGGAAATAAAATTTCCATGTTTGACATTTACATATATCCATAAATCAACGAAGGAACTATTGACATTTCCATAAATTTAAGACCTCAAACATATAAAATTTTGATTATATATTACCTTACATAAATATTTATTGACCATCGTATTTCAAAAAAAAAAAGTTGTATTAATTAAATATTTACAATCAATTATCACATTGCTTAAATAATTTGCTCAATAGTTATAAGTTAACCTGAATAAATATTTTGCATTTTAAATGAACTATATGTTTAAAAGTAGAAGTCTTCTTAAACTAAAAATGCAACCTCAAGCAATAAAAATTCGTATAAAACTTTTATCGTAAATAAGAATGTGAAATCTTGATGAACTCGAAAAAGTTTTTAAAAGTAGTCTCCACTATTTTAGAAAGTGTGGAAATACATTCACCTATTCTCAATTTTTTAGCTCATAAGAGAGAAGAAGAAAGAGAGGGGCCACAGCTAACTATTTTCCTCCTCCATCTCCAAATCCCATGAAAACATGCTTCCATATAGGAAGATTTTTCACTGCCATCTTTTAATGGCAATCCAACATTTCCTTAACTATAACAGTTTGACTTTGACAAAAACTTCAAGATAATTTTCCCATTGGATGAAATCTCAGGTGATTTAGATGGATGTACCCAAACATTGCCTTCATTATAATGACACAAATCCAAAAATAAAAAGGTAGCTCAGAATACATAAGCCAACAGTTTAGCTTCAAAAGAACCAAAAAGAGATCAAGAGAGGGAAAAAGAAGAAGACGATGACAATAAATAACATTACATTGCTTAAAAACTACAGCACGACCGAATTCTGTCGATTTTTTGTATAAGGTAGACGGAATCGCATCGACTAGATTCCAAGATGGCTGGCCACTTCAGCAGCATTTTATAAACAATCAGATCCACTTCAGCCATTGCATAGATAGGTATAAATAGTTTCTCTACTGTCCAAAGATGGGGGAGTTCCTACAAACATATAATAGTTTTGATTCTGGAAGCAAACAAGAGGTGACATCAAAACAAAACCAAACATGTTATCATGAAGAAGTTAGTGAGGGACTTTGATTTGCACACAATGTAACAAATTTTAGCACCTGTTACACGTTCTGCACTTTGCTCGGCGGTTCCTTTGGTTTTGTGTCCCCATTTTCCTGCAGTAGAGAAAATTGCTCAATTTCAAGATTTCATCTTATATATAATTAATAACACATGCACGTTTCATTTGGATTTATGACGATGTTGATCACAATCCAGTTCAACTGTTGAGGTAAAGACATAAAACACCCTTGTTTTCCAAATTGCTCACATCATTCTTTATTTTTCAAAGCTTGTTGTAAACAAGCGAAATGAAGTCAATTGGATTTGTAATGAGATTGATTTGAAACCACCCAAGATTAAAAAATATTGCAAGTTTGTGAAATTTATCTCACTCCAGTTATGAATCTACCAGTTGTTCATGCAAACTAACATGTGTTGCTTCAACAATTTCAGGTAGCGGTTGGCCCTATGTTGAGAGTCAAAATTGAGTCAACCCTTCTACCTAACTGCCAGAAGCTAGGAAGTTCAACTTAGGAGAGGCTCGTGGTTGTGTATAAATTTGTCAATGTGTGTTAAATTATTGTAGGGTTGAGGAACATAATGATACAGCTCGGCATCAAAAACCCCAAATGGCTGACCATTGAAATTAAAGCCAATTTTGGAACTGTGTAGTACAGTACAGGTTTTGAAGGTTTATAAAGATTTAATTAACTATAGAACAGGGAAGTCAGGATAAAAGCTAAAGTATAAATGTAATCATAACAAATGAAAATAACATACAAAAAGATTAACCAAATCATAAATCATAAATAACTAAAAGAGGCAGAAGGTAAGAGTAACCATAATCCATTCATTTACTAATCTCTTTCTTTTTTTTTTCCCTTGGCGATCGTTTATTTGTCTAATATCTCAGGTAAAGCAATTGTAGCGTCCTGTTGTTGCAAATCGAGAAAGGATATGCACAGGTATGCTGAGTATGACATCAAAACTACATCAAGAAAAGAACTACATCTCAACTGATCTGGGGTCTAATTACATGGTTCATGTTCAAGCACGAAATTATAGCATTTACCAAATGCAAGTAGAAATGTCCAAATTGTTTTCCTCTACTCTATATAAGCATACAGGTTAACTTCAATCGCACGTCAAAAACATGGTTACCCTCTCCATATTACTTTTATTTACCAACAGTGAAACGATATTTGAAAGCACATAAGTTCCAGTGGTTGACCCAATGAATACGAATGAGTTACTGAATAAAAAAAGTAGTACAAGTTGGAGAGATGGTTGGCTTTTAAGTTACTTCATATAAAAATAGTCCAAGTTTGCTTCAAAGTTACTTCGTATATCTTCAACCAATAATTATCATTATTTCAATGATGAATACTAACCAACATTAATAACTATAGGAAGAAAATGCAGAAGAGAAACAGAGAATCAATGTTAAGATAAAGAACAAATGTCTGTGAATAAGGGGAAATAACAATGCTAGATTTCAGAAAACAATATCCAAGAAATATGTAGCTGTACTACTAATGAACTTGACCAGATGCATACCAATCCCTTGTTCTCATAATAATCATCTAGTGCCCACTGGTACTTGGATTGATTCAACCCGAACCAGCGTGCCAAATGGTCATCCAAGCTTGAATGTGCTGCAAAATTGCACCAAAACCTTTATGTTTCGGTTATTTACAAAATAACTGCATGGATAAAGAAATTTTAATTATGACGCATAGGTTCGCCATTAATTTTATTTTTATTTTTATTTTCTTTTTCTTCTCTTCTTACCTCCAATTTCCCAAATAAGAACACAAAACTCTTACTAACAAATAAGCATACATTTAGCATAACTCGAGTGGAACTCATATAAAATAGATCCTCCATCAATTTTTTTAAGAAAACCAACTTTGAAGTATCAAATACAGAAGACCAAGATATTGAAGAGAAAATTCCCTATATAATACGTGTGTACCCCCACAAAGAGAAAACTGAATGGCAGAAGAATTAAGATTCATGAACATATCTCCCCTTATTAGCAATAATGGCAACCAAAAAACACAAGAAGAAAAAGATAACTATTCCATAAGAATCCTAGCCTGATTACACATCAAGCAATAGGGCTAAAACAGTGCTGTAGGCAGTAGCCCCTGTTTCTGCACAAAATATAATCACGGAATTTCCATCATTTGTGGACTTATCGATTTCCCTAATTAGGTTTTTCTCGACCTTCATTAGCCAAAAACAGTAAAGAAATCAGTCCCATATCTATCTCCAGTAGCCACATTATCCCATCGTCAAATTCAAGTAAAAAACCCAATATCTCAAAGCAGAAAGCAACTTTCCAGACCAAGACACCCAATTAAAAAGAAACAGACACCCAGAGACCGAATTACCATTCTGCACTTTGGAGACTGCATTTCTGAAGAATCCGGCGACGGACGCATTCCCATCAGACACAGCAGCAGACTTATCGAACTGCTGAGGCGGCGGCAGAACAACCTTCTTCGGGGACTCGAACACCGGCTGAGGCTGAGAGACCGGCGAAGGGGTGGAGGGCGGGGTCATGAAGACGGTGTAGGGCCCAATTTTTCCGATCAGCGGAGGCGGCGTGGATTCGCTATTGATAGGCATTGCGTTTGGGAGAAGGGAAAGGGAGGAGAAGGGGAGTAAATGGGAGATCTTCCGGCGGAGATGTAGAAGGAAGAGGAAGCTTTTGGAGCAGCGGAGAAAGTTTGGAGAGGGAATTTTTGCTTTAGCTTAGCTTTTTATTTGGAGAATGGAGAGGGTATTTTGGCCACTGAACAGTGAACACAGTGTTCAAGACTGGAGAAGAACGGATCGCACGCAACCCGAGTTCAGTGTGTAACTGGTTGGATCTTTGTCTTTCTTCTCACTCTTCACGTAATTTGCCCCTCAAATTTCACTGTAACTTCGGATTTGCCATTCTGTGATTTTATTTTTATCTTTTAAATCCTAATTACAAGTTTATTACTTGAGCCAAAGTGACCATAGTTCCACCTAGTTAACAAAGTTACATCAAAAGAGTAGTGCATCGTCAAATTATCTCAAATGACACATAGATAAACCATCATAAATGATACACTAGTCAATAAAAATAGCTTATATGTTCAAATAACTAAGAATATGAACGTCAAAACGAGAATAACTCAGCAGTAATTGACATATATTTACTAAACATCATTTTGTGTTTATTAATTTCATCAGAAAGAAAATTGTACCTATGATGTTGCTTTGTTTTCAAATAATTTATAAACTTTCTAACACTTAGTCTAATAAATATCTTATGTTTTAAAATTCATCCAATTGAATTTTGGGTCTAATCTACGTTCCAGGTCTAAAAAGGTTTGTAAATTAAAAAATATATATATTTAATAAGTTAAATTAAATATTTATAAATTTAGCAAACATTTTAAAAATTTAAGAATTAATTGGATACAAGTTTGAATTTTTTGAAGCCTATTAATCACAAATTGTATCATCTGTAATTTAACAGTTTGTAATGAATTATTGCTACCATGTATTGACTTATAATTATAATTTTGTCTCGCTATTTCTTCTCTAATTTTTTCCCGCAGTGTTATTGTGATTTTTATTTACCATGTAACTGAAATTACCTATTGAAAATACCCATTTTTTATTTATCTTGTAAGTTGTTACCGCCTCTCTGTATAAGGTAACTCTCTCAAATTTGATTAATTCACACTGGGTGTTGGGTTATAATTATCCAAATGTGAACAAGAAGCAACAACGAAAATAATAATAATAATAATTAAAATATATATTTGATTAAAGACACCAATAAATAATAATGATACATTTAAAATGACTTTTTATAAAGTAAGGGTATATATATATATTAGAAATTATAATTCATTAATAAATAAAGGGATGGAAATTTCAACCTCTACTTTATAAACATTGGTAACGATATGTGAACTTATCGTTAGCGCGCAAGAATTCATTTGAAAGTATTTATAAATATTCTAGCATTCTTAATTAGGTAAATAATATTTTTCACACTATTTGGAGAGCCAAGCCACGTGAAACTCGCCTTAAAATCAATTTTCCAAGTTTTTAGTGGGTTTTTTTTTTATTTTGATTATTTGGATTTCAATTCATAAATAAAAGTATTATAATTACATGTTGTTTCCACATTTCTATTTCATTAAATTTTATATTTTTTCCACCTTTCTTTTTCCTTATTCTGGCCGAGAGGTGTCAATTTTCCACCCTTTAAATCAATCCCTATCCCTAAAAAGACCTCCGTAAAGAAGGGGCGGGGAGAGAGTAGTTAATCATCATGATAAAGTTATTTTTATCCATTAAAAGGTTGCTATATTTTTCTTTTTGTGTGAGGAATAAATACTGCCATTTATTTAAGGAAATATGAATGAATATGTATATTAATTTGTATATTTTTAAGAGAATAAAATTTAATATTAAATGGATTTAAAATCTATTTTGATCCCTGCGTTTTGATTTTATTTTATTTTAGCCCACAGACTTTTAAAATATATAATTTAGTTTTGAAACTCAAAATTAAAAGGAAGAAAAAAAAGTTAGTTTTTTTAGTGTTAGTTTACCACTCTTTGTTGTTTAGAAAATAGATAATTGACTTTGAGTAATGATACTCAAAGTGGTATTGGACCATACGAAAATTGACAGTATGATAAAAGCAACTATCAAAACAATTACCTCCTAATAGAGATATATATCAATTACTGCTGAACTAAACTCATGCTGACGAAATAAATGTTTTGAAAGTTTAAGTAAGATGAATTTGAAAGCGGAGAGATTGAAATGAGATGAAAGTGCTAATTTTGTTTTAAAACTTTTAGGGATTAGTACATTCATAGGCTATTTAGACACTATAATTACATAAAACGATTGACACTTTTGTTATGAAACAATTTCATTTAAGATGGTACCCATCACTCAATTTACTAATATATCCTTTTATATCTCACCTCAATATTAATTAATTTTTTAAATCCAAAATTGGTTACTTGTATGTTACATTTTAAATCCTTTAAAATTTTCCTAATTAGACTTTACAAAAGTAAAAAATAAAAATAAAAAATAAAAAAAACCCCAAAATCCTACATTATTGAAAAAATTCGAAAACCTCATCTCTCCAACCTTTCTTCTTCCTCTATTGTTCTGTTTCCGTCCATTCCTTCGTCTCCGGCCACTGTCTGCATTCATTCGTTTCTGGTCGCCGCCTCCATTATTCTTCGTTGCTTGAATAGTCTGTCTAGCCTTCCTTCGTCTCCGACCGCCCATCTATTGTTTTCGTCCGTTTATCCCGAAATTTCTTTTTTGTCACCGGCCGCCCGTCGACCATTCGAACCTTTCGTTTATCCCAACCATTGTCTAATCGCCGACATAAATATTTGTAGGTTATTTACTTTGCTGGTTAATTGTAGAGGGATATAGTCGTATATACTTTATAGCCAGATATAGGTTATATCTCCATATAAGTGTATGTTATAATGGCTATAGTTTATATCATCATTGTTAAGTGTATGTTACTTAAATTTATAGCCAGATATAGTTTATATCTCCATATATATAGAAAAGTGTATGTTATAATGCCTATACTATTGAAATTTGGCCAAAAATTGTAATGAAATGAAAAAATATTTTGTAATAAATTTTATTATTTAGTAGAATATATTAAGGAGTAAATTTGGGAATTATGAGAATAATTGAATATTTTGTGATAAATTTTATTCTTTAGTAGAATATGTTAAGGAGTAAGATAATGATTGATTTAGGCCCCAATAATTTAATGTTTACATAATCAAGTTTGGAATATTAATTTGTTGTATTTAAATAAAAGAATTATGAAATTTGTAAACATTAGAGATCTGTGAAAATAAGTTTGTAAAATAGTTCTCCAATACACCGACACAAACTTTGATAGGTGTAATTGCAGCCGTTTTAGATTGTTGCCACTGGACTGTGAAGTGGTTTCAGTTGGGCTTTGTCTCTTAAAATTAGCATATTATTTGGTTTGGGCCTCAGATTGGCAGTGCCCCACAACCGCAACTAAATGGGTTCCTATCCCAGCCCACTTCTGTTAGTACCGAAGTACGCGTGTCACGGAGTATAGGATCGACAGATCATAGATGACATGGAGAGGAAATTTGTTTCCTTATATCCCCTCGATTAAAATCGACCAATCAAAAAATGCATTTTAAAATGTTGAAACTTGAGATGAGTATAAAATAGAATGAAATTGCATGTGAACTTGAGTTTGGTTCATTTGTTAAAGTATTTGTGTGTAACCAAAACGTCGTGAGCATAATATATTCGTATTTTACCATCAAAGACATATTCAAAATATACGAAGTTATTATAATAATGAAATCATTTAGCGGGGTTCCATACATATGGAGCGATTACAATAACAAATCATTTAGCATAATGCTTGTGACAAACCATAATGGTTGGCTCATTGGTCCAAAAGAAATAAGGTAAATAAAAAAAGATTTAGTGGGAAAATTTTCAAACTCTATGATGTCCAATGACAATTATGTAGTAGGGTCAGACGGATGTCCAATGACAACTATGTAGTAAGGTCAGACGGTTGTCTCGATTAGTCAACAAAATAAGGGAGCACTCTATTTAATTGGTCCACGTATTACTCACCTTCTTGACTATTGGACAATTTTGTACCGTGCCAATATTTTATAATTTATTGAATATGCACATGAAATATTTTTTGAATGACCATGCAAACAATAAAAATTGTAATATTTATCAAAGTCTAAATACTACTTTGATGGAAATTGAACTTAGTGTAAAAGTGTTATCTATTTTAACTAGGTTTGAATTGATAAAAATGATTAGTATAAGTTTGAAAACACAACTTCATAAAATATTAAAGAAACATGCAAAGGTTAAATATAGCTAACTTTTCACGCCATCGATTCAAATATATATATGTATATATATTTTTGCCTCACTCTCAATTTTGGAGTAAAATTCAAGTTTACTTATTTACTTATTTATTAGAAAAATAAAAATGCCATGTCGCAAGAAAAGTTGCATGCCTCGAAGGCACAACTTGTGCATTTTAATTAATTAATTTGTGTCCTAAGTTTTAATTAAACTATGGTTTTGTCTTGAAAATTTGTCAAGTCAACGATATTGAGGTTGACATTGGTGTTTATCCTCATATGTTAGGCATGCTATACGTACTGATTAATTAATTTTTAATGCCAACTCTCAAGATTTTAAATACTTTTGTAGTTTAAAAGAAAAAATATATTAAATACTTAAAAACTTCTCAATCATTTTTTTGTTGACTTTGGTTTAAATAGTGACATTATTGTTTTGAGTGACTTCACGTTATGGGTGAGAAATAAAATATAATTCGAAAAATTATTTAATTATTCAGAAGAAGATATATAAATTTGTGTCACACCATTTATTTTTCAAAATTTAAACAATATTTAATAAAAAACATTGTTTAGAGTTTGGAATAAAAATATTAAAATATGATATATTATGATGCTTTTAAGTATGTGAGTCATATTCAATTAATCGTGGAGAGATCAATGCATTATTGAACTGAAAATATTTATTGTAATCATACTAATAAATATTATAAACAAAATAATTAGTTTCATTATTCGTTTAAATACATAGATGCAGTCTAATTTATATTAGTATCTTTTTTTGAGAGATTTATATTAGTATCTTATAACAAGTAATAATAAATAATGACTAAATAATTATCTGGTTAACGACCATTTACTTCATTAATAGGAAATTAAAATTAAGACTAAATAAATTAGTTGTTTACATCA